CTATATAAATATTCTGGCATGTATCCCCTTTGAAAAAAGTAAATTCTAATAACATTATTATACTCCAGGCACTTACTGATATAATAACATCATAATATAGCCTATGGTCAAATTTCCCTCCTCAAAATTTTCTTTTTATCTAAAACAGTCTACCAATCGTTTTTATCTTTAGTTGTCTTATAGACTGTCCCACAATCTGGATATGACTGATTGTTTCCTCATTATAAATTCAGGTTAAACATATTGGGAAAAAATACTACACGGGTGATGTATATTTTCCTTTCTGTCTTCAGGAGGCACCTGATATCAGTTAGTTCCATTATTGGTGACGCCTAGTTTGATCACTTGTGAAGGTGGGGTCCATCAGCTCTTTCCATTGTAAAAGTACCTTTTTTCCTTTTGCAGTTAATAAGTAATATGTATGGTGACACTTTGAGGCCATGTGAATCTCTTGTTTCATTGATGCTCCTTGCCTGCATCAATTATTTCATTTGCAGTTGTAATTCTGTCAGTTCTCCTATATTTATTAGCTGGCATTTTTGGAAGTAGAATCTGCCCCTCCCAACCATCATGCATGTTTTGGTTCCAATTTGGACTCATGGGTTGATATTTTATTCAGTGGGCTTTAATCTATTACCATCATTATTCTTTTTTATGTTCAAATTGTTCCTCATTTGGCCAGTGGGAGAACTCTTTAAGCTGGATCTTCTGTTCTTCTAACGTATACCCATTCATTTTTGAGTACTTCCTTGGTTCTGGCATAAAAAAGTCACTCATGTTGTACTTGTCCTACTCCCAGCCAGTAGCCAGCTATTTCTCCAGAGTGTCCTTTCTTTTTAAAGAGTGTGGTATATGAATAGTATGTAGAAAGTAGGATTTGGTAGTAGGTGAGCTCTTTGATACTGGAGTGTCATTGTTTTTAGGCCTTTGCAGTGAACAGAGATACTTTAAATGATTAATTCTTATTCATACTTCCAATTAGAAGTGGAACATCATAGGGCTCCCATTACGTATTTGCATCTCCCATCTTCCATGGTAAGAACCCTGTTTCCTGAAAAGCATCACTCTAGTACAATATACACAATAGTTGCAGAATTCCTACTTTAACGACACTACCAATAACAAACTCATTAAGTAAAGTTCAGGGCTTCTTTGCAGGTACAGTATTTTTATCCTTAGAATATATCACACTAAGGATATACAGTTAGACAGTTTGTGTCTAAAGGTACTTGAATTATTTTTTTCTGCATAGCTATATAATCAGTTTTGTATGCAGTTAGATTCATTTATTTCTGTTGCATTCATTTTGGGGGTTTGCTTCTTTTGATCCAATTGGATTTAGTTTATTTTGGAATATGTACAGCATTTACATGGTTGAAAAGTCAAAACTTTGTGAAGAGGTAAAGCCAGAGGTGTCTTAATCCCATCCTTATCTCTTCCTTTCTCTTCCCACACACCTCAATAGTAACCATTTTCATTAGTTTCTTGGTTATTCTTTCTCTATGTTTCCCTTCCCCCCAAAATTAAACAAAGCTATACACATTTATAGGAATACATATGTACACATAAATGTACACTTGTCCTTATTTTATTTATTATTCAAAAGGTAGCATAATTCCACATCATTTCATAGAGATCTTACTTAGACTTTAGCTGTGTAATACCCCACTGGGGAATGTGCCATAGTTTATTCATCCAGCCTCCAATTCATAGACATTTAGGTTGTTTCCAATATTTTTGCTGTTACAAATAATACTATAACGGGTAACTTTGTCCACATATTGTTTCATATTTATGAGGAGAATTTTCAGGATAAATTCTAGAAGTGGAAGTTTGCTGAGGAAAGAGTGAATGGAATATGATGTTGTTAGATGCTAGGATACTTCCCTCCAGGGGGTCGTGCCTGTTTGCACTCTCACCAGTCCTGTGTGTCAGAGCTCGTTTCCCCAGCCTTGTACACTTCTTAAATTTTATGAATCTAATATGAGGAGAAATGGAATCTTGGTGTGGTTTAAATTGTTTCTTTTTTATAAAACTTGTAATGAATTATCATTTTTTATATATTGTTGCTGGATTTAGTTTTCTGTTTTTAAAAAAGATTTTTACGTCTATAGCTATGAGAAAGATTGGCTTTAACTTTCCTTCTTTTTTTTTTTTTTTTTTTAACGTTTTTATTGATTTCAGAGAGAGGGAGGGAGAGGGAGAGAGAGATAGAAACATCAATGATGAGAGAGTCATTGATTGGTTGCCTCCTGCACGCTCCCTACTGGGGATCAAGCCTGCAACCTGGGCATGTGCTCTCACCGAGAACTGAACCATGACCTGGTTCATAGGTCGATGCTCAACCACTAAGCCACACTGGCCAGGCTTAACTTTCCTTTCTTGAACTATCTTTTTAAAGTTTTAGTATAAAGACTTTGCTAATCTCATAAAATGGGTTGAGGAATGTACCCTTCCCTCTTTTTCTATTTTCTAGAAGAGTTTGTGTATAATTGGCATTATTTTTTTCTTTAAATGTGTAGTAGAATTTATTGATGAAGCTGTTCAGGCCTGGAGCTTCTTTGTAGGAAGAGTATTAATTATGAATTCAATGAGTATCTTTTGTAGTATTAGGACTATTCATATTTTTCCATTTATGTCAATTTTAATAGATCATCTTTTTTTCTAGGAATTTGTCCAATTTATCTGAAGTCTTCAAATGTATTGTCATAAAGCTGTAACCTTTTAAGAATGATGGTTTTAAAATTGATTTTAAAGAGAGGAAGAGAGAGAGATAGGAAGACAGAGAGAGAAACATCGATGTGAGAGAAGAACATCGGTCGGCCACTACCCACATGTTCCCCAACCAGGGACTGTACTTGCAACCTAGGTATGTGCCCTGACCAGGAATTGAACCCACCACCTTTTGGTGTAAGGGACGGTGCTCCAACCAACTGAGCCACACCAGCCAGGGCAAGAATGACTTTTTCACTCAGCATAATGCCCTTGAGATCCATCCAGGTTGTGGCATGTATCAATAGCTTACTTCTTTTTCATTGCTGAGTAGTATTCCATGGTATGGGTATACAGTAGTCCTTCCTTATCCACGAGGAATATATTTCAAGACCCACAGTGGAAGCCTGAAACTGTGAATAGTATGAAATCTTATATATACTATATTTTTTTATACATATATGTCTATGATAAAGTTTAGTTTATGTTAGGCACAGTAAGAGATTAAAAACAATAACTAATAATAAAGTAGAACAATTATAACAATGTACTGTAATAAAAGTTATAAAAGTCTCTCAAAATATCTTATTGTACTATATTCACCTTTTCACTTAAAGGAAGCACTTTAAGGCTTTGATTTGTAATAGCTGAATTGCCAGCATCATTACTCGTGCACTTTGGGACCATTATTAAGGGTTACTTGTACACAAGTACTATGATACCATGACAGTTGATCTGATACCCTAAACAGCTACTAAGTGACTAACAACTTTCTACAACCTTGATAGTTATACATTCTTTTATACTTCTTGTAGGGGTTACTTTAGACTCTACAGAAAGTACAATATACATCATGCTATTTCTTTATTATCATCTGGCATCTCTTGTTGCTGCTGAGAAATTATTTGTCAGTGTGTTATTCCTTGGTAGGTAATTCATATTTTATTCTAGTGGCTCAAAGGTTTTATTTTTATCTTTAATATTCTGCAGTTTCACTGAAGCATCATTTCATCTTTATCCTGGTGAGAACTTAGGGTGTACTTTCCATATGAGAATTTTTGTCTTTTTTTCAATTCTGGAAATTCTCAATTATCTTTTTTACCTTCCTCCATTATTCTATAACTTTTCTCAGTCTATCTTACATGTCTTTTAATTGTTCTTTTATTAAAAATTATTTTATTTTTCTCATTGCCCACTAGGTGAATTCCTCAGAACTATTTTCCAATTTATTAATTCTCTCTTTAACTATGTTTAGTCTTGATTATATCCTATTTGTTGGGATTTAAATTTTTAATGCCTATATCTTTAATTTCCAAGTTTTCTAATTGGTTCTTCATATCAATCTATAAATCTTGTTTCATTCTGTTTGTTTTTAGTTTATAGTAATCAATTTTTATAGTCCTGTGGACAATCCTCCCCCTTCTCCAACTTTCCATCCAACTCTCACCCGTAGAAGGAACTTAATTATCTCAACAGAAAAGATGTGATCCAAAGGGCAGGCTGAGATCCTTAAAGTTGAAGCCTAATAACATATATCTCATTTCTTAGGATTCTCATATTAATTTTTATTATACTAACTTTGCATATGAAGAAATAATGTCTCCAGGAGTTAAGTAAATTGCCAAAGGATATATTGCTAGTAAGGGGCAAAGTCATAGTCAGGAGCCAAACTTCTAATTTTTCATTGTTTTTTGCATGTTTTCATCATACCATGTTATCCACTTTTGAAAAAATACATATCCACCTCCAGCAAGAGAGAAACAGCTTCTCTCTACTCACCTTATTTGTTCCTTACAGAGATGTTTAGAGTTATGGTAGTTTCCTCAGAGACCAATGAAGGGGACTTGAAAAAGCATATCTCAAGAAAAACCATCAAGAAATTTATGAAGGCACTCCTAGTTGCTGGTCAGGTGAGGACATCTTAGAGATTTTCCTGGCTCCAGCCAGGGTAGAACCACCTCCATAAAGGTAGCTGGTTGGGTGCACACCCATTGTGTCAGGAAAATGGGAAGAATTTCCAGTCAGCAGAGCACTACTTGGCTCAGTCCATTCATAGCTCCAGATCTGGTTCCCATGTCCCTACTTTAACCCATGCCTTCTCCACCCCTTCCCCCCAACCCTGGATCCAGCTTTAATCCTCCCTCTAGATTCACTCCTTCCCTTTCTTTCTCTACCAGAGATCATTAGATCATTATTCTCCCTCTCTCTCTCTCTCTCTCTTTCTCTCTCTCTCTCTCTCTCTCCATCCTTCAACTTTCCCTTCTTCTTGAGTTCCCTCTCTCCTATAGTTGTCAGAAGATGATATCGTAAAAACCCTCAAATTATTGGAAGTCAAAATACTAAATAATAAGATGGAAACTCCACTGTGCCAGCAAATGACAGATGTCATTGTCAGCTACCTGAGGACAAAGGTGAGGAGCCCATGTCTCTGAGTTGGGGGTTGTGGGGGAAGAAAGGATCCCAGGTCTAAACCCAGGAGTTCCTCTCTGGTGGATGATGACATTTGGAAACTAATTGGTATCTGGGATATGAGTACCTAAAGTTTCTAAACAATTTACTAGAGCCTATATCTTATACCTTGAACATGTCTCAAGAACTGTGACCTAGAAGGTAAAATAATGAAGTAAAGGGGTAAGGTGGGAGAAGTGAGATGGAAATGGGGGAAGGATTTAAGCTTTTGGTCTTGAAACCTGACCTGGTCCTCACATTGTGTCCTAAACCTCCTCCTGCGATATCTTAGGTAGTTACCTTTGTTATTGCAACTCAACTAATCATCTCAATCTACTTACTAACCTATTTAAATCCACCCACTTGTCTGCTAGCCCAACTTTGGATTGAATATTCATGATCTCTACCTCTTCATCTATCCACATACTTTTGTATTTAATTTTCCTGACATTAGGTAAATCTGGTTTCTTATTTTCTTGCTTAACTGTCTACATACAAGGTGTCTTCCAGTTTACCTGCCTTCCTTGGCACATCTGTTTTCTGATCAAGACCCTTGACCTATCAGGGACTTTTCAAAGTTGCCTCCACAATCAACCCACCTCTCTGATGGTTCACTTGCTGCTGCAGGGAAAACTCTGTGCTCTGGAAATGCCAATCCCCATTTCCACCCCAACACATAAGCCCAGAGACTTTGCAGGCTTTTTGATTTCCTGTCCTCTTGCACATTCTAGGAAGCTCTTGCCTTCCATCACTGGGAAGGTGTATATTGAATGGGGTTGTAGGATGAGATAGGTTAATTACTGCCCTCTAGATAGAGGAGAATCACTTATTGACCAAAACCAATTATCAGAGGCTGAGGGACTCATCTGGGAGATTAGCCTTGGAACAGTTAGTCGTTCTCTTTCCAGAAGCCAACAGGAGAAGTGGAGAAGATGTGCACTGCAGTACTACTGGCTCTGGGGTCCCAGTCTCCAGGAATGATCATTGTCAAGATATGGGACAGACTGCGTGGGTATAATCTGCCCCCAAGGAGCCTCCTGGTTGCAGTGGGGAAGCTCAGTCTTTCCCAAGGTATTGCTCTCTGTGGTGGAAGGGTTAGTTTGAGAAGAGAACAGGGACAGCAGGCGGTGGGGGTGCGGTATGGAATTTAGAGTATAGCTTTATCATCCTCACTCCTTTCACTGGGCATCTCCACTTAGTCTAGTCATGGATGTGTGTGTGGAGGGGAGGGAGACAAACTAGGATCCTTTTGGGACTTATGGAAACTCAGAAGGGGGTTCCTTGAGGCTAGAAATGGCACAGGAGGGCGTATTAGGGTATGGGAGACTGTGGGGCTGGAGGTAAGACTTGGGAACAAAGATGGAGAGAGAAGGCTGAATTAAAAAGCCCCCATTCAACAGAGGTGGGAGGATCAAAAGAGAAGTAAAGAGTGCTTTGCTTAGGAGAACCTGAAGCTTTTAATTTGATTAGAGATTTGGAAGGTAATAGTGTAGTAGGATGAGGCAGAGAATCACCATACAATCTCCATGTTGGTGGCTGTTGGTGACAGCATTATCTCTCTTACCCATTTCACTCCCCTCCATGAATCACGAAGTATGAAAAAAAAAAAATCAAGTCACCCGGCAAATGACAGTACCCGCCCTTTCTTTACCACTTGGCGTTGGGGCCAAGGAGAGGTTGGGGGAAGTCAGCTGGCCTTCTGGGCATTAGGTTCAAAATGACAAGGCTTATGGGTGGGGTTGCACAGTAAACTCAGAGGACACAGCGACAGAAACTGGAAATGTGTCTCTGGATCTAATCTGGGCAACTTCAGAACAGTGAGAAGGGCCTCAGGCAGCACAACTCTGTTTCCTTAAGGGTCCTTGGAAGGGAGTGTGTATGTGCAGAGTCTGGCAATACCTTGCATCTGTATGCTATGCAAACATACATTATTGAGTTTAATTTTCCCAGCAATCTTGTGAGGTGGTCACATTAGGAACTGTAGTCCTATTTAACAGCCGAGGAAGCAGAAACTAGGATAAATTAACTTGCTCTTCATTGTCCAGACTCTTTGGAGGCAGAGCTAGGATCAGAACCCAAGCCTCCTGGTCCCTAATCATAAGGTTTTCTACATCTAGCCTGGGAGGTTCCTCTCTCTGGGTTAGGGATGTTTTTCCTGTGCTCTCCCTCCCAGCTATAGGTTCAGTTTCCTACATTGGTTCCTTATGGAAATATATCCTGCGCCTTCTGAGGATGGCTCAAGAGGAGGATGACATGTTGGCGATTTGTCAAGGTGAGAGTCAGGAGGGTCTGGGGAAGGCTTAGTTGGAATCAGGGAGGGAGGAAAGAAGGCCATGAAGAGACTAGGTCCCTCTGAATTTGGATTGCATAAGTCTATGGAAGGGGCAGATGATGGCTGAGAGCAGGCCAGGTGTGAGTAGATGTTCTCCATCTGACCTTTCTTGGTCTGGTTTGGGGCAAAGAGCAAATTTGATAGGGATGCTGTAGGTGTTGACAGCCTTTTTCTTTCACTTTCCCTGCCCATACTGGGTGGACTAAGTATGGTCAGAAAGGAAAGATAGTTGGGGAGGTAGTGGATGGGTTGGTCTTTCTCAGCACAGGACCCCAAAAGCCCTTTTTGGGTTGGGGAGGAGAGGACTGTACTTACAGGTTTGTATACTTCCCTTTGTGGGAAGGGAAAGGTGATGGGCAGCTCTAACTCCCTTCTCTGCTTGCAGTGCTCTATGGATTGGTCATCAGTGCCCAAAAGCATCTGGGCTCTTGGGATGATAAAGTGATGGGCATCACTCAAAAGGAAGTGTCCATCAAGGCCTACCACACCTTCCGCATCCTCTTCAACCGTTGGTCTTTGAAGGACAAGCACAAGGTGGGAGTGGGAAATACAGGGGTTGGGTGGATGGGCTGAAGGAGCAAGACTTGAGCCAAAGGTGGAGCAGGGCAGTGTTTGTCCACTTGCTGGTGGAGGCTGACTCACCAGGCTCTTCCAGGAGAGCAGGGTGATTCTCCTCAGGTGCCTCTTACCATTCTCCAGAAAAGGGTATAGTCAAAAAGCACTCCACTGTCTATTCACTTATTTGTTAAGTATGCAATTTACATTTACTGACTATTCTCGTTTGCCAGGCACTGTACTAGGCTCTGGTCATACAAAGATGAATAAGGCAATACCCCTGAGGACCTGTCCTGCCTTCATCCCTTTGCTGATGCAAGTTTGTGTGTCTCTTTGGGCACAGGTGACAGAGCAGGTACTGGTGATATTTGGCCATCTCTTCTTCCTTATGCCACAATTCAAACTCAAGAACCAAGTGAACCAGTTAACCCGATGGTTAATGACGTTGATGTCTACAATAGTGACACCTTTCTACATTACCCAGGTGATTGGGTTGGGGTGAAAGGAAATTTAACTAGTTCATGTATTTCATATTTATTGAGTAGTTAATGCTGGAGTTGGCAATACATGGCCTACAGGCCAAATCCATTCCGAAGCTTGTATTTGTAACTAATGTTTTACTGGAACTCAGCCATGCCCATCTGTTGAATTCACCTCATGCTTTGAAACTCTCTGATTTCCCTGTCTCTGACCTCTAGATCCAGATTTAAAGGGCTCATGAGATTAGATCAAACCTACCTGGATAATCTTCCTATTTTAAAGTCAACTGGTATGGGACCTTAATTACATCTGCAAAATCCCTTCACATCAACACCAAGATTAGTGCTTGATTGAAAAACTAGGAGAAGGTATGCGATACCAAGGGCCTGGGATTTCAAGGGCCATATCAGAATTCTGCCTGTGACAGAAATGTTATACAAGTATTAGGTATTTTTATGAGCAGAGGACCAAAAATCAGAACCCAAATTTTCTGATTGTTGTTTCAGTCCTCTTTCCAACTCAATGGCATTTCTCAAACTGAGTTCCCCCAACTTCTAATAGGTGTTCCACAAAAAGGTGTGTTATTTAGTAAAATGGGTGGAAAACACTGAGTTTAAAATTAAACAAATTTCTTAACTGTAGGACTCCTCAGAGCCTTCAATATGTGGGTTAGTCTGTTCCTCCAAGAAGCAGATACCAACATGGAATTGAGGTGCAAGAGATTTATTGGAGGAACACCTGTGAGGAAAAAACAGGGAAGGAGCCTGAGGAGGCTGGGAGAGCCATGAGACTGAGTAGCAGGCCTGACCCTTGATAAGGAGAAGGGGAACAAAGGAAGGAAGGGAGAAGGGAGGAAGAGAGGAAAGTCTTAGATTATAGTGTAGTTCTAAGAAAGTTTCAGCAATGCCAACAGGGAGTCATTTACCCAACATCACCCATCAAAAAAGTCCTACATCTTGCATACATAGGCCTCCTTTAGTGGACCTTCCATACTCAGTCATTGGCTGGGAGAAACCTGTGGGAATCTAGCCTCCGTTTTAACACAGTGATGGATTTTAGAGTGCAGAAATTGGAGGTGTTGGTCAATTATGCCCTCCAGAGTAGGCATCTGAGAGGTACATTTTTCATGGTTGCTCAACATGTTATTATGCATTTGTAAATTTACAAGAAGAGAATTTTTATTTTTTTATTTTTTTTAGTGCAACACCCATTAGCATCAAGTTTCCAGGGATCACAGTTTGTGGTCTACCATTGCACTACCACCTCAAGTGCACTTTCCTTGGTATATGAAGACTTGACTTTTCTCATGTATGTACTCTGAGTTTTCTCCTTTAATGGACCAGCCAATTTCCTATTTACTTACCCTCCTGGCACATGTCTGCATGTTGCCTAAGGGTAAGGTCTGTGCATTGGAGCAGAGGTTTGCTCTGTGTAGTCAATTAGCCAGTTGGAGGATAAAATTTGTAACCTAACTGCTAGTCTGCAGATTGGTTGGGTAGAGATTCTATCCAACATTTTAGTGGACAGTGGAGATGTTTTGGCTGCTTCCCCCTTCTCTCTCCTCCTTCTCTATCACTTCAGGGGAGAATGATTAAGAATTGAGATATTTGCCAGTCTGTAGTATAATTTATTTGGACATCAACTAGCACTAATCAGCTCTACTTAGGGAGGCTGGCCCAATTTGGGGGTCCATGAGTCAAACCAAAGGGAAAGAAATGTTAAATATGCAAAATCCAGCAAAGGGATTTCTGCTCTGGAAAAGATAGAGTAACTGAGGCCAGAGTTACTTTCTTCTCTAAAACAACTAAAACACCAGGCAAAATATATGAAATAATGAGTCTCAAAACATTGAACATCAGGCAACAAAGAACAGTGCCCTTGAGAGACATGATGTAAGCTCTATAGTTGCCCCAGCTTACTTCCTTAAGAGAGTTTCCAGGCAGTGGCAGAGGGAAACAAAACCCAGGAAGAGTCTGATGGACTTCCGAGTTGCGAAGATAGCAATGAGAGCCCAGGGAGACCAATGAAGCTAGAATTTACAGGGTGGAATATTAAACAATCCACATGTGTGAGGAAATGGTCCCAGGTGAGGAAAAGAACCAAGACTTGAAAGAACGGTAGCCAGAACTCACACAGGGCCAAGAATAATACCTGTTCCCACAAGCTAGCCTTAAAACCTCATAATTCACAGGGCATTAGGTAGAGTACTGGGTGGGTTGGGGGCAAAATTAATAGTAGGCTGAATGCTCTTCTGGTCCTGTCTAACAAAATCTTAAAAGCAAGACCCAAAAAGATGAAATTATTTTCAAGAAACTTTAACTGTGTCCCAGGAAAAACTGAATATTTATAAGAATATAAAAATATCTAGCACCTGGATGGATGGAGGGGGAGAGATTAACCAAAGAATTTATATGCATATATGCACAACCCAAGCATACAGACAATGGTGAGGAGAGGGACTTGGGAGGGGGATGGGACGGGGTGGAATGGGTCACTGGGGAGAAAAAGGGACATCTGTAATATTTTAAACAAAAAAATCAAATAAAACATAATAATAATAATAATAAATATCCAGGACCGAACAAGGTAAGTTTACAATGAGTGGCATTAAATTAAAAAAAAAAAAAAAATCACCAGGCATGCAAAGAAGCAGAAAAATATGGCCTATAATAAGGAGAAAAATCAAATCAATCAAAGCTGACCCAGAACTCACAGATGTTAGAAGTTGCAGACAAGGACATTAAAACAGATATTATAACTGATCCTATTGGTTTAAAAACTAGTGGAAAGATTAAGTAAATAAGGAGGAATCAGGAAAAATATTTTTAAAACAGACCCAAATTGAACTTCTAGAGCTAAGGACTAGAATATCTATGATGAAAAAACAATGGATGCAGTTAATGACAGGTTAGACCTGGCAAAAGAAAAAAAAAAAGGTTAACTAAAGACATAGCAATAGAAATTACACAAAATGAAACAGAAAATAATGAAAAATAAATAAAGAAGAAAACATCAGCAAGGCACGGGACAACTTCAAGCAGCCTAATTTATGTGCAGTTTGAGTCCTCTCATAAAGGAGAGAGACAGAAAATGTACTTGAAGAAATAGTGGTTGAGGATTCCAAGATGATGGTGGATTGAGTGGAAACTACACCGACACTCTCCCAGGACCAAACTGAAATTACACCTAAAATATAGAAAAGCCACCCTGAATAATCAACTGCAACCAAAGACTATCTGGGGAGCACCCTTATAACCAAGGTTGAAAAGTGGAGACAACATAAAGACTGGTAAGAAGTGAGGAGGCATATGAGGGCTGGCCAGGTTCCCATAGGCAGCATCTGAAGGTCTGGAGGGATATCTCAGCTGCAGATGGTTCCCACTGAGAACTCTGGGGCCTAAATCCCAAGCTGGGCTTCCCAGCCCAGAGCACCAAAACTGAGAAAGGTGCCCACATAATACCTGGCTGTGAACAGCAGCAGGGTTTCTGTCTGCCAGGGAGAGAGAGTTGGAAAGGCAGGCACCCTCTTAAAGGGCCAACACACAAAGCTTTGTGTGCAGCCACTCAACTTGGGCTTTGGCAGAGGCAGAGTGGACTAGAGCGGTGTGAGGAGAACCCACGGGGGTTGGTTGGGGGAATAGATCTCAGAAGCACCCCTTTGGAACCTGGTGCTAAGTCATTCCCCGTTACTACAGAGGACATATTTCTCAGGCAGACATTTATCTTCCAAGCAGCTTTTCCCTGAGGGGGGAAGCAATTGCCCCACCCTACTGGAAAACCTCTGGCCCCAATATGTGGTTTCTATAGCCTGAGGCTCATTAAAAGACTGAATAAAGCCTCTGGGTGCTTTGAATCTTTGATTGATTTACTTCTGGACCCAGGGCTTGGAAAAGCAGACAGTGGTGCACCTCTTGGTTCTGTCCAAACACACCCAGCCCCAGCAGAAGACACCACAAACTGTGGGGTGTGGAAATCTGCAAACAGGGTACTCAAGGCCAGTCACAAACAATGTCTGACATTGGCCTGCACCAATCCAAAAGACTGGTAATCCTAGCAGATCTACCTAATACATAGAAACAAATCCAAACAGGCAGCCAAAATGATGAGGGGGAAAAAAAAAAACAAGCCCCAAAATGAAAGAACAAAAGAATTCTCCAGAAGAAGAGCTAAATGAAATGGAGATAAGTAATCTATCAGATATAGAGTTCAGAATACTGATCATAAGGATGCTCAATAGCATGAAAAAAAATATAAAAACTATGAAGGAAATTAAGAATGATATAGGAGGGAAAAAAACAACATTGGAAAGAATGAACAGCAGATTAGGGGACGGTGAGGATCAGATCAGCAAGTTAGAAGACAGGGTAGAAAAGAAATGACTCAATCAGAGAACCAAAAAGAAAAATCAATTAAAAAACAGGACAGTCTAAGGGAGCTGTGGGACATGAAACATAACAATATTCCCATCATAGGAGTGTCAGAAGGGGAAGAGAATGAGCAAGGGATAGAGAATTTATTTGAAGGAATAATGGCAGAAAACTTCCCTAACCTGGTTAAGGAAAAAGCCACACAAATTCAGGAAGCACAGAGAGTCCCAAGCAAGAAGAACCCAAAGAGGACCACTCCTACACACATCATAATTAAAATACCAAAAATTCAAGACAAAGAGAGAATCTTAAAAGTAGCACAAGAAAAGGAATCTGTTACCTACAAAAAAGCTCCCATAAGGCCATTGGCTGATTTCTTTTCAGAAACCCTACAGGCCAGAAGGGAATGGCATGGAATATTCAAAGTAATGCAAAACCAGGATCTGAAACGAAGGGTACTTTATCCAGCAAGGCTATCATTCAAAATACAGTGATGAAATAAAAGCAAAAGGAGTTTATAATCACCTAACCAGCATTGCAAGAAATGTTAAAGGGACTGCTGTAATAAGAAGTAGAAAAATATAGAGAGAAAAACATAGGCATAAAGAAATAAAATGGCAATAGATAAGTACCTATC